TCTTGCAGCCAACTGAGGCTAAATTCTGGTCAAAACAACACAGCCATCGCCGTGTCCCAGATGTCTTCAGGCCAGTGCCGCCTGGCCCCCCTCATCCAGGTCATCCAGGATTGCAGCCACCTCTACCACTACACGGTCAAGCTCATGTTCAGGCTGCACTCTTGTGAGTCCCACTGCCCTGGTCCCCTCACCGCGACTGCGGCCTCTGAGGTCCAGCCCGAGCCCCAGGGGGCTTATATGGACTGGCGTGTACTGGATCAGAGATGAGAAATTAATAGAAGTAGCAACGATGAGCTCATTATCCATTAATATAAATGACTTGTTATGAAAAATCCCTAGTTTTCAAAGCAAACACTCTGTGAGAAAAGTGGTGCAGTTGACGTGTGTGCCAGTCTCTTGGACGCCTGGTCTCAGAGCGGCCCCTCGCTGCCCCTGTGCCAGTCGGTGCTAGTGTCTCCATGGGGTTCAGAAAGGGGCTTGTCCTCAGGCCCCACTTGGACAACGCTGGCCTGGGGCATAGGAGCCATTCGAATATCAGACCAGGGCACACTTGAATCTAAAGAAGCTTCACTGTGCCTCCGAAGCTGGGCCCAGGGTTTGGCCATGGTCTTGAGACCGCCCTGTCCACTCACATTTCTTCCCTCCATGGTGGGGACTTGGCCGGGTGGTAGTGATCTTTCTAGTCTGTGGCGGCTTGTAGAAGGGGGAGGAATAGGCAGCGGAAGGGAGGGGGGAATGTGAAGTCTCGGCGGCCACAGAGTGGTGAGCAGAGATGAAGGTCATCAAGCTGTCTCCCCCCCCCCCCAGGTCTCCCAGCAGACACCCTGCAAGGCCACAGGGACCGGTTCCACGAGCAATTTCACAGGTACCAGCAGGCAGGGCTGTGGGCATGTCTGGGGCTGGTGCTGCCAGGGGCCAGGCTCCCCTCTGACCTCCGTGTGTGTCCCCGCAGCCTCAGGAACTTCTTCCGCAGAGCGTCTGACATGCTCTACTTCAAGCGCCTCATCCAGATCCCCCGACTGCCCGAGGTGCCTGCCCTGCTTTCCACTCTGGGTTCTGAGCCCTTGGACGACCCCGGGTGCCTAGCAGGGCCCCATGTGGGCTCTGGGGATGGCCAGGGAAGGCTCCTGGGTCGGGTAGGGGGGCACCCTGAGCAGCTCTCACCTATGGCCCTTGCAGGGACCCCCCAACTTCCTGCGGGCCTCGGCGCTGGCTGAGCACATCAAGCCAGTGGTGGTGATCCCCGAGGAGGCTCCCGAGGACGAGGAGCCCGAGAACCTCATTGAGATCAGCACGGGCCCCCCCGCCGCGGAGCCAGCGGTGAGTGGCCCCCTTGTCCTGCAGGGGGGTTTGGGGTGATTGGGCCTCCCTCAGCTCCCTCCTTCTCCTGGCTTGGAGGGTGGGGCTCACAGTGCTTTGCTGTGGCAGGTGGTGGCCGACCTTTTTGACCAGACGTTTGGACCCCCCAATGGCTCCATGAAGGATGACAGGTGAGGCCTGGGACACCTGGGGTAGGGCTGGCCGTGGCCTCCATGGAGCTGTGGTCAGGAGAGGCCACAGGTGGGGGATTTGAACTGGAGACACCCAGATCCCCAGGAGCCGCTGATAAGACCACAGTTCCTGTGCGGGATCTTCTGATTGTCCTGGCTGACTGAACTTGAACGCCAGACTGTGTGGGCCTCAGAAAACCCTGCCTGCCCGACCTCTGTCCCCAGGGACCTCCAGATCGAGACCTTGAAGAGAGAGGTGGAGACGCTCCGGGCTGAGCTGGAGAAGATCAGGCTGGAGGTGAGGGGACGTGGACCAAGGGGAGGCTCAGGCTGTGCGACTGCACCCAGCACCTGTACCCAGCACCCGCATGCGGGCCCAACACAGTCCTCACCTCCACCATGTCCACGCCCTTCCTCCCGCCACAGGCCCAGCGGTACATCTCCCAGCTGAAGGGCCAGGTGAACACGCTGGAGGCCGAGCTGGAGGAGCAGCGGAAGCAGAAGCAGAAGGCGCTGGTGGACAACGAGCAGCTCCGCCACGAGCTGGCCCAGCTGCGGGCGGCCCAGCTGGAGGGCGAGCGGAACCAGGGCCTGCGCGAAGAGGCCGAGAGTGCGTGGCCGGGCTGAGGTGGCCGAGCCCAGTGGGAGGGTCTGGTCCCCAGTGGGGGGCCCTCTGCCGAGCTGGGGTCACAGCCTCACCTCTCACCCGCAGAGAAGGCCAGTGTCACGGAGGCGCGCTACACCAAACTGAAGGAGCAGCACAGCAAGCTCATCGCCACACACGCCGAGCTGCTCAGGAAGGTAGGCCGTGCCGGCAGCTGGCGGGAGGAGGGAGGCCTGGTGGCGGAGTGTGAGCCCATCCCCTGTCCACGCAGAACGCAGACACGGCCAAGCAGCTGACGGCCAAGCAGCAGAACCAGGAGGAGGTGGCGCGAGTGAAGGAGCAGTTGGTGTTCCAGATGGAGCAGGTGAAGCGGGAGTCCGAGATGAAGGTGCGTCATGTGCATAGGCCCTGCCTCTGGAGCCCCCAGCACCACTGTCCCCGTGACACACTGTCCCCGTGACACACTGTGCCCTGTCCCAGCTGGAGGAGAAGAGTGACCAGTTAGAGAAGCTCAGGAGGGAGCTGGAGGCCAAGTCTGGGGAGCTGGTGCGCGTGCAGCAGGACCTGAGCCGCACGGAGCAGGTGAGCTGCTGGCCAGGGTGGCCTCCGGGTCGGGCGGGACAGGCGCCAGGGTCCTCTTCCCCGTGAACTGGGCCACGCCCCGATGCTCCCAGGTTGGTTCAGTGGCCCCTCGGCCATTCTGGCTTGTGGCTGTGACCCAGCACGCAGGGAACACACAGGACATGGGCCCTGGCCTTCCAGAAGCTCGCATTTCGGGGGATAGTGAAGACTGTGAACTTGGGTGGGTGGGCCTGAGGGGTGGTGGGCACCTGGCAGCCCTGCCCACTGCCTGGTGTTCACAGAGCGGGTCGGAGCTGAGTTCACGGCTGGATGTGCTGAGTGCAGAGAAGGAGGCGCTGAGCAGTGCTGTGCGGCAGCAGGAGGCCGACCTGCAGGCCGCCCAGAGCCTGGTGCAGGAGAAGGAGGCAGCGCTCAGCCAGGAGCAGCAGCGCCATTCCCAAGAGAGGGCCGAGCTGCAGGGGCGGCTGACAGACAAGGTAGTGTGCCTCTCCCACCCCGTGTGACCGCTGGCTCGAGACCATCGTACCCACAGCCCAGCCCTGAGCGTCGACGAGTTAGGGGGTCTCTATGCTCACAGGGCTGTGCTTTCATCTGGCACCTCCGGAACACTTTCACCCCTCCAAAGAGACCCCCCCAATAAGCAGTTAGTCTGCACCCCCTCCTCCAGCCCCTGGCACCTCTCATCAGCTCTCGTCTCTGGATTTGCCTGTTCCGGACTTTCATAGAAATGGAGTTGTACAGTAGGGCCGGCTTCTTCGCTCAGCAGGTTTTCAGGGGTCACCTGTTGAGTACTTCCTTCCTTCCATGGCCCAGGGACATTGTGCTGTGTGGAGGGACCACACGTTGCTTACCCATCGCCAGCTGATGGACACTTGGTGGTTTTCACTTTCTGGTTATTGTGAACGATGCTGCCGTGGACATGTTTTTCTCTTTCATATGTAACTACGATGGGTTTTCTGGGTCACATGGTAACGCTATTTAACTTTTTGAGGAATTACCAGTGTTCTCCAAAGTGGCTGCACCATTTTCCCTTCCCACTGGGAGTGTACGTGGGGTCCAGTTTCCCGACATCCTTGCCAGCACGTGTCACTGTCTGTCTGTGTTTAGCCATCCTAGTGGGTTCAAGTGGCACTTCATTGTATTTTTTTTTTTAAATATATTTTATTGATTTTTACAGAGAGGAAGGGAGAGGGATAGAGAGTTAGAAACATCGATGAGAGAGAAACATCGATGCAGGGATGCCTCCTGCACACCCCCTACTGTGGATGTGCCCGAACCGAGGTACATGCCCTTGACCGGAATAGAACCTGGGACCCTTCAGTCCACAGGCTGACGCTCTATCCACTGAGCCAAACCGGTCAGGGCCATTGTATTTTTTAATTTGTTTTTGTGATGGCTTTTTAAAATGTTGTGTTTTTTTTTTTTTTTAATGGGTTTTAGAGAGAGAGGAAGGGACGGATAGAGAGATAGAAACATCAGTGAGAGAGAAACATTGATTGGCTGCTTCCTGCATGCCCTTATTGGGGATCAAGCCCACAATCTGGGCACATGCCCTGACCTGGCATTGAACCAGTGACCTCTTAGTTCATGGGTTGATGCTCAACCACTGAGCCACACTGGCCAGGCCTCATTCTCATTGTGGTTCTGATTTGTTTCCCTGGTGGCAGATGACATTGAGCATTTTTTGTGTTCCTCCCGTTTGCATGTCTTGGGAGAAATGTCTGTTCAGACCGTTTGCCTGCTTTCTAACTGGTGTTTGTCTTTCTACTCCTGAGCTGTCCAGCACACTCTTGAGGGGCCCCATCCCTGGGGGTGGAGCTGGGCGTGTCCTCGACTCCTCCCCAGCGAGGGGCTGGGCTGGGTCCTGTCCAGCTGGTGTGAGGCTGCGCCTGGGCAGGTCTCACGGCTGCCTCCTCCCCTCCCGCAGGAGTCTCGGGAGCAGGGGCTGCAGCAGAGGCTCCTGGACGAGCAGTTCGAGGTGCTGCGGCGCTCTGCCGCCGAGGCCGAGCGCATCCTGCAGGACGCCGTGGGCAAGCTGGACGACCCCCTGCACCTGCGCTGCACCAGCTCCCCGGGTAGGGCCGCCGGCCGGGCACTCGGCCCCCTGCTTTCCTGACCAGCTGGCAGGAAAGGTCTGCCCCTCAACCCTTCTCCCTTTGCTTGCAGACTACCTAGTGAGCAGGGCCCAGGTGGCCCTGGACGCCGTGAGCGCCCTGGAGACGGGCCACACACAGTACCTGACCTCCAGATCAGGTGAGTGCAGGGTACGACTGAGCAGGGAGAGGCCAGGGGACTTGGGTGCTGGTTCCACCACCCCTGGCTGCCTCTTGCTTTCGGGTGGTTTCCTGCAACAGGTGCCCCCACCATGCCCACCTGGGAGCCTGCCCTGTAGGCCTGGGTCACAGACTTGGGTTTGGTTCCCGCTCTGCTGTTTTCTAGTTGCATGACCTTCGCCTAGTACCTTCTCCCTCTGAGCCCTCCTCATCCGTAGACTGGGCGCGGGCACCTGTCTTAGAGGGCATGGCGCCTGCTCCCAGGCGCTGGCCAGGACTTGCTCCATTAGGGTCTCGTTCCTCTCCTTGCCCATAGATGCTTCTGCCCTGGTGGCAGCCCTGACCCAGTTCTCCCACCTGGCTGCGGACACCATCATCAATGGCAGTGCCACCTCTCACCTGGCCCCCACCGACCCTGCCGACCGTAAGTGGGCCCAGGCTGTGTCCCGCCGGTTCTCACGGTGGACCAGGGGCGGGTGGGAGCCTGCAGACAGGTCCTGGCGTCAGAGCCTGGGCAGGAGCCTGTCTGGAGACTCCTCCCAAGGTCCTCGGGCGCCGGCTCCCTGACAGCCCTCTCCCCCAGGCCTGATCGACGCCTGCCGGGACTGTGGGGCCCGGGCGCTGGAGCTCGTGGGGCAGCTGCAGGATCAGCAGGCTGTGCAGCAGGCCCAGCCCGACCGGGTGCGGAGCCCCCTGCAGGCCATCCTCCAGCTGGGCCAGGTGAGGGTGCAGCCCGGTGCTGAGTGTGGGCTGGGCTCTGGTGGAGGGCAGTGGGTTGGGTTGAGGCTTGGGTCCCCAACTTTTCTGCACCTTTCTCCAGTTTGGGCTGACCAGGTGCTGGGGGACAGAGCACGAGTCCTGCTGCCCCAGGCTCCCTGTGGGGTGGTTGGGGTTGAATTCACCCCGTCTGAGCCCCGGGTGCCTGCCTCCCCCAGGAGCTGAAGCCCAAGAGCCTGGACGTGCGTCAGGAGGAGCTGGGGGCCCTGGTGGACAAGGAGATGGCAGCCACGTCCTCGGCCATCGAGGAGGCCGTGCGGAGGATCGAGGTAGGACCGGTGCAGTCCTGCAGGACGCTGGGCAGGGTGGGCTGAGAGTAGGCTGCGCTCCCCTCTGCCAAGGACAGATGGCTTGTGCAGATCTGGACAGGGAGGCAGCCCTGATGTGGTGCCCTGAGCCGAGCCCACCCCTCCTGGTGCAGCGGCTGCTCCAGCAGCCCCCTTCCTCCCGCGTTGCCCTCCTCCCAGCCGGCTCACAGCTATGTCCTTGGTGCAGGACATGATGAACCAGGCCCGCCACGCCAGCTCAGGGGTGAAACTGGAGGTGAATGAGAGGTGAGCGCACTTCTGCCCCCAGGCCCGGGATGAAGCAGGTTCCCACCACCTCCCAGCACCAGCCGTCTGCCCTCCGAACTGCTCGCTTTCCAGAAGCACTGGGATGAGCAGCGCACCCCACCCTGTGGGCCCCGTGTCAGGCCCCTAACCCCCCAAATCCCTAACCCCCTGTGGCTTCCTGGCCACACTACAGCAGCTTGCCCTCTCTTCCCACCCCTCCAACCCATAGGATCCTCAAGTCCTGCACAGACCTCATGAAGGTGAGCGGCCAGCTGGGACCCCAGGGGCGGGCTATAGCTGAGAGGGCTGCCCCACGTGTGACATAAGTCTTGGTCTTGGCAGGCCATCCGGCTCCTGGTGACCACATCCACCAGCCTGCAGAAGGAGATTGTGGAGAGCGGCAGGGTAAGCTGGGCCTTTGGGGGAGAGGGTGGGGGTCACTCAGCTACTCCTGAAGGGCCACCGCTCCAGCGCCCTTCTCATCCCAGGCCACAGAGCTCCTGAAGGGTGCAGTTATGAGACCCCCCAGTGTGCACACCTGCCTGGGAGTCAGCTGAACCCCCCACAGCCCAGAGAAGAGCCCTGGGGAGCACCCATTGCCACTGTGATGTCATTGACTGGTCTGCCCTGTCCTCTTGTCGCCACTAGGGGGCAGCCACGCGGCAGGAATTTTACGCCAAGAACTCCAGGTGGACTGAAGGCCTCATCTCCGCCTCCAAGGCCGTTGGCTGGGGAGCCACGCAGCTGGTGTATGTCGCCCCAGGTGGGGGGCAGCAGGGAGTGTGGTGCCCAGGGTCTGAGGAGGGAGTGTAGGGTGGCCCTGATCTCCTGGGGTTGGAGACCCAGGCCCTGCCCGCTCTGCCCCCAGGGAGTCGGCTGACAAGGTGGTGCTTCACACGGGCAAGTACGAAGAGCTCATCGTCTGCTCCCACGAGATTGCGGCCAGCACAGCCCAGCTGGTGGCGGCCTCCAAGGTGAGGCTCCTTGCCCAGCCCGGCCTCTGCTCAGGTTCCCCACCTCCTGGCTGCGCTGGATACACCGCATGCGGCCGGGAGGCCTCGGGGTGGGTGGTCCCGTGGGCCACCCT